TTTGTCTACACTATATTTGGACACGCATTATAAAGAGGTAAATTTGGTATGAAACGAAATATGGAACGTTTTAACCTGAAATTCGGGCAACTATCGAACGCTGAGCCACTGTGAGATAATCTTCGAATGATCTTTTAATACGATTAATATCCGAAATGTAGTTCATTCTAATCAATGGGAGTGCATAGTCGACGAACTTGATTGATACATATTATAGCGATTTTTGGAATTATAGCATCGTGTGATCTTTAATCTTTGGTAGCCTAATCTGCTAGCCTCGCTGCCAAACGCTGAAAAATCATTGTACACCATGCTCCATACACCATAGATACATCCATCATGGAAAAATAATTATAGGAAATTATTGTCGCGAATGAATATCGATTTGCATCCACAGGGTAATTAATTATCGCTATGAAATTATCATCATCAGCGTATCGTTGTCAGCTAACACCTATAACGCTGAGAGATATTCCGACCCCTATGAATGCTAATTATATACAGAACCGAGTGTCTTTCATAATTCATCTGATCACGTTGCTTGGCATAACGAAACGGAATACTGAATTTATAATGACTATTCGATAATTTGCTTATTCTTACCAACTAAATTTAAATTGAAATTAAATTAGACCGCATTGTCATTCATCGATCACGGTTATTTAGAGACAGACACGTTTAATAATTAGCTCTTCTCCGATATTTGCGTTACACACGTTCCCCGATGCATCCTCCGATGCAACTTCGCCGTTAATCGATCATTCTGTACATCCACGTTCCCTTTACCATTAATCACAGGTAGATCTCAAGGAAAATAAGTTTATTGTCACGAAAAATCAACAGGTGTTCTACTTTTGCGGCCAGCAGCTTATCGATCAGAGCCGCTGCGGCTTCGATATAAACAATGGAAAGGTTTTCAATTACTACTGTTACTTAAAGCTCCCGAGTGCATTAAGTAATATCCGATATCGAGGCACGTAATTCTTTATGTAACCCACGTATCGTATCAGCAACCGTATCGTCCGCGAAATCTATTAAAGTCGAAGGATGAAACGTCATCGAGTATTTCCCGTGGATAAAATTCCGCTCGAACGTGCGTCCCTTTAAACCAACCTGCACGTTCGTACCTAGCGATATACTCGATGTTCGAATTACCATTATGCTCTAATTATGCTCTTAATAGATTATTCCAAGTATCAAGTGCCTCTGTCCTCGATGACACCCTGCATAGTTCAGCTATCTCTCTCCTGTGCCCGCAACCAAAATACGCGTGGAATTTGAACGTTTACCGTATCCAGCACAGATTATTAACTTATTAATAACTGACCAAGCATTTCAGACATCGCGCGTATTTCTGCAAAGTAAAATTTCCCCGTTATTCACCGTGCAACAACGTCCCACGTGAATAGCATAACGGGTACATAATACGAAGCCGAACACACATGTGCAGGCTGCAATATTGTATCGCGGCAATTTGTCCTGACGAGACAATAACAGTGGCAACGACATCGCTGTGATGATAATAATATAACCACGTTGACGACAGTGTTGTAAATAAATTAGCGTCGACCTCGAGCGAAAGGAAATTTTCCATTTTCGACCCATGGTCTCTGTATCCTATCACACGCTACGGTTAATACGGAGTTTCCTGCATGGGTCTTGAATTTTTGGAAAATATCTTTAACGAAATGGAACAAAGACGAACGAAATTTTAATGGAAATATAGGATAACTGATATTCAAAAAGTATCCTTTAGACGATCGTTCATGTATGGATTTCAAATTTTTGGAAATATGTTTAACGAAGTGGGACAAAGAAAAATTAAATTTTAATCGAAATACAAAATAGCAGGTAATCAAAAAGCATCCTTTAGGCGATGGGTAATATAAAGACTGAGGAAAAGATTCTTCCTCGGGAAAATCTAGAGATCCAAGATTCCAAATGATCTTACTGCATAAAAAAGAAAATTTGGACATTCGTGTATGGATTTTTTACTGCATAATAAAGAAAATTTGGACGTTCGTGTATGGATTTTAAATTTTTGGAAATATGTTTAACGAAGTGGAATAAAAAAAATTAAATTTTAATCGAAATACAGGATAAGTGGTATTCAAAAAGCATCCTTTAGATGATAGCTAATATAAATACTGAGAAAAAGATTTTTCCTCAGGAAAATCTAGAAAAATCTAAAATATCGAGATTCCTAATAACCAAGAAACTTAGATAAAAACAAATCGTTAAAATTGTTAAAAAATGTTACACCAAAGAGAGCAAGATTCGCATTCGCAGATTTTTCAAACATAACCTATACACAGTGAACATAACCTAAACGCGATAATACTAAGAAGCAACCATTCGTGTTTGAGAAGCAAAGGTACACTGTAAAGACGATAATTTTAATTTTCTTCGAGATAATCATCACCGATTTTACCGCTTCAACTACCACCTGTAAAACCATCTTACACGTTGTTTCGATCAGTACAGTTCATCGATCAGGGCTTTATATACCCTCGTTGGGTACCGATACCGTTCTACTTCTGATTCGAGTTTTCAAGTAAAATCTAGTTCCCCGTGTTTTTTTTTCCTCCTTTTCCCATTTTATTTTTCCTTTCATCGATCCGAGACACTCCACCGGAACTATCGACGAGATTTCAGCCGGCTAATCGAGCATACCGAAATTCAGTCACTTAGAAATTGACGAGAGAGATTGACTGCTGCATTCGACGAGCGCTGATTCAATTTTGATCGGTAAAGGACCGACGTGACACGCGCCACTGACAACGCGACTATTTCGCGCTCAGAAGTTCGCACGAAATCGGGACACAATGCTCCGTTGGAATTATCAATAAAATACCGGATGCGAAAACTTGACCGCGAGAATGCGAAGGCAAATACCGCGAAATTCGAAGAAAGGAATTCGGATGATTTAAGACTCGCTTCGAATTTTTGTCTCGCCACGTGCAGCTGTCGATTCGGTTAAGTGGAATATTTTTCGGATATTATACTCCGAAAATCGATACGAATTCTTTGCTTCGTCGTTTGTTACTTCTCTGCGAATCGGAGTGCGAAACTTGGAATATTTATCAATTTAGAATCTAAATTACGTGAAAAAGAGGGAACAATGAAAGGAGCCTAAGAGAAAAGATTTGACAATTATTGAGAAAGAGAAGAAGAGGAATTATAACGTTACTGGTCGTTTATTTCTATAAGTTAAAGACGAAAATTTGGGATATTTATTAATTTATGAATCAAATAACGAGAAAGAGAAGGCATGATGGAAGAAAACAAAAGAATTTGACAACTTTAACACGTTAACACTTTGCCCTCGAGAGGCGTCTCTCAGTCGCCATTTAATCAGATTCTAAAGATGGATGTTAATTAATATATCAAATTTAAATTACCCAACGATGCGTGGAATATCGAAGTAAAATAATTCTGTCTTAATTTGCATGCCATTTCTTATTTACCGTTTTAGAAATATCGTCGATTTTATGGCAGAAAATCTCACCGAGTGCAAGGGGTTAATTGCCATGGTGGTCATCATTGACCAGCGCTTGTCTCCTCAGTGGGGTCATGGTAGTCACCAGTGTCCGAGAATACTAATTTTTTAAATTTATATTTCCTTTATTCTAACCAATTTTTAAATATTCGAACAACGTAAATAAATAGAGAACTTTGAATAGAAGACATTAATAATTTCCACCATTTTCTCCCTCATATTGTTTAATAATTCGTCATTATATCGTAGGAATAATGGAAATTTTATCGTAGCCCCCTGAACGCACCACATAAAAATCAAATCAAAGTGTCAAAGAAAAGAGAAAAGAAAAGAAGGAGAAGATTTTTCTCTAAAATAAACCTTTTACTTTAATTAAACAAATTCTCACGACACCTAAATATTCTGAAACATGTTGGTTAAAAAATGTTGTTCCCTATGATTAAACAAAAATGAAAGCTATTGTAGAGACATGGGTGGTTGTTAAATAATATAAAAGTATTTATTAGACATAAAATGATAATATAATAGAATGTGCGGTGACGGTAAAGACTACGAATATAGATATATATATTTCAACTAAACTTTTACGACTACAACGACACAATTATACCTAACAACACGATTACAACTAGCAACACGATAACAACTCACGACACGACTACAACCAACTCTCCAGCACTGTCTCTCAAGAAGAAGCGTCTATCGAGAATCCTCTCTCAAGAATCATCCCTTAACCATTTCTGCCTTCCTTATATATTTCCTAAAAAGCCTCCCCCAACACGACCAAATATGATCATGCTAAGGGCCTGACACATCGCCGGGGTTTTTCCGAATGACCTGGCCCTCGAACCCTCGGCGACTTTCCAAACCCAAAATCACCTACACACGAGGCGGGCATTCTGCGATACTACACTATTGTTAATAACAAATATCAAAATGAAACATCTAATAATTATCATACATATTTAAATATCAGTAGGTACTCTATGTGTATTATAAACCTAAATACGAATTCTGATAAACGTTAATGACATTAACATTAAACGCACGTAAGGAAAGTAATTAGAAAATATCATGAGAGGGCGGTAAAAATATTTTTAAGCGACAATGCCACTAACATCGTAGCTGATAAATCAGGACTCTAAATGAAAACGATTAGCCGGGGTCGAGTACAAGCGGCGGCCATTTGCATTTATTTGGCCAAAAGCGTTTACATTTATTACGGTCGAATGCAATGAACGTTAATGTTTTTTATCATTATACACGCGGCCACTGATAATTCTAAATGCCCCCGCGTAATCTCAAAGTGAAATCGTGTAACGATTCTTAAAATCGACAGATCGAATTAATACCAGAGTGTTCCGCGGAATTAACACCCGTATTACACGGCGAATAATAAGCGCTTTGATTTTATTTTTCATCTTGTTCCATCCCTTTCTTTCTCCCCAAAGCATAGACGAGCGACAGCTTTACAAACGGGAATTAATTTTCTAGATGATATATGGAGAATTTTCAGATGGGCTTTTTGCAAATGAAAGCTAGCCTCGTGAAGTATTGCGAGAAAAACCCTTGTAAATATTAAACATACAGGAATATTTTTCAATTTAACATCGAAGAGGGATGATATAGGCGAATAGATTGGAAATGAAGCAGTACGTTGCGGAATTTAATATAACCATATGTATAATCACAAGATAATTTGATGTAACTGTGGCAAATATAATTGAAACTGCCGAATAATATATTTGATATATTAATCTAGTTTAATCTAATTATTAAAACGATTCTATGCTACGCTATAGTTAAATATATGAATGGATGAATTCTTGATTTGATTTTTCTAGACTTATCAATCCCTTTAACTATCGTTGTAGTTATACAGAGGGATTTCCAAATTTTATGTAGCTTCTGATGTTCCATCAGAAGTTCAAATTCGCAAATAATCTCCTAATAAATCAAATATACATTGTCTGTCCCTAAATATCCTAGCATATTGGGTACAACGAAGAATATACTCAGTGATTAAATCAAACATCAAAGCACGATTCCAAAATCCAAACCCAAACTCAAGTCCAAGTCCAAGTCCAGATTCAAAATTAAAACCAAGAGCAAGTCAAAGATCAAATACAAGTCGAAGACCAAGTTCAAGTCCAAGTGAAAATCCAGGAATAATTTCAAGACTAAGTTCAAGTCCAAGTGGAAATCGAGGCACAATATCAAGACTAAGTTCAAGTCCAAGTTCAGATCCAAAACTAAAATCAAAACCAAGTCAAAGACCCAATTCAAGTCAAAGACCAAGTACAAGTCCAAGTCCAAGACTAAGTTCAAGACCAAGTCGAAGACCCAATCCAAGTGAAAGACCAAGACCAAGTACAAGTCCAAGTCTAAGTCCAAATCCAAAACAAAAATCAAGACCAAGTCGAAGACCCAATCCAAGTCAAAGACCAAGACCAAGTCCAAGTCCAAGTCTAAGTCCAAATCCAAAACAAAAATCAAGACCAAGTCAAAGACCCAATTCAAGTCAAAGACCAAGTACAAGTCCAAGTCCAAGACTAAGTTCAAGACCAAGTCCAAGACTAAGTTCAAGACCAAGTCGAAGACCCAATCCAAGTGAAAGACCAAGACCAAGTCCAAGTCCAAGTCTAAGTCCAAATCCAAAACAAAAATCAAGACCAAGTCAAAGACCCAATCGAAGTCAAAGACCCAATTCAAGTCAAAGACCAAGTACAAGTCCAAGACTAAGTTCAAGACCAAGTCGAAGACCCAATCCAAGTCAAAGACCAAGTCCAAGACCAAGACTAAGTTCAAGACCAAGACCAAGTCCAAGACTAAGTTCAAGACCAAGTCCAAGTCCAAGACTAAGTTCAAATCCAAGTGCAAGTCCAAGTGGAAATCCAAAAACAATTTCAAGACTAAGTTCAAGTCCAAGTGAAAATCCAGGAACAAATGCAAGACCAAGCCCAAGTCTAAATTCAAATCGAAATCCAAAGCCTCGCCAACTCACGCATTTCCTTCGCAACCCTTCCACGCGAAATCTCGATCGACGAAACAAAATGGAGAACTCGCGAAGCGTGGAAACGAATCCCGGCGACTCGCGAGAAAAAGGAAGAAATTTCATTTAATAACATTGTTTCGAAGGGACGACGACGCAGGGGTACGGAGGCGGGTGCCTTTTTCCGGGACGTTTCGCGGGCAGATTCAGAGGAAGCATGGTTCACCGCAAGAGCGTAACCCGCTCGGGGCAGCCTTCACTCGAGGGAATTTTTGATTAAAGTTTAATTTACAGGAATGGCTCCGTCCTGGCGCACTTTAAAATGAAATTTTTCATTCTTCCCCACCGGTCTCCTCCGCCCTGACCGTCACCCTCGCTCGCGCTCACTTATCATCCCGCGGTCGCCGGACCACGCGAGATCGCGTTTACGAGTGTCACGGATTTCTCCTACTCGTAATCTCTCTCCCTTCTTTTCTGCGCGAATCTTATCAATATTTCAGATCGGTGACACGCGCCAGAGAATACTTCCTGCTACCTCGCGAGGGAAAATTCCACGATTCAGAGATGAAAAACGAGGAAAATCGAGAGAACTGTTGCTGATATTTTAGGTACAGCGTGTTTTAGTTTGGAGTAGGAAATTATTTAAAAATATAATTACGCTCTTTACTATAATTGGAACTAGAACTATGAGCCTATACCGTGTGCTTAAATATTGAATATATAGGTCTTAATAATTAGGGACGATGTAAATGTACATAATATGCCAAACATGTAATGTATAATATTATAACCATAGATAATGGGGAGAAGAGGAATCCAAAGCGAGAGGACAAAGAGGTAAATAATAAAAGAATACCAATAAAAATTAAATAAAGAAATAAAGGATACGAGGACGAAGAATATAGGCTGTGCAGTAATGGAAAGGAAAACTTGGAACACATCTGGATGTGCAAGGAGCTGAGAAAGCTGGCAAAGGAAGAGACAATTAGAAACGTGGAGAAGGCTTATAACAGGGAAAGTCAACCCCGAAATATGCAACTATATAAGAGATTTCGAGAGGACCTTAAGGAAAAGACTATAAGTACCTAAATACAGTAAGGTTATGTGCAATGTAGAATATTGAAATGAAATTCTTAAACCGTATGCAGTAAGAAAATAAATATCTATCTATCTATCTATAATCATAGATAATGCTATGGTTTGAGAGTGTTAGTTACGTGATCATAAATCAGTTATCAATCTAATCTTTTAGTTTCTACTTTACTCCTATGTCTCTAGCTCGTAATAAATATATATTAGAATAAAACAACATCTCTTATTCCTTATATTTGCTGATCAAAAGTATCTCTACACTAATAAGTAAAATAAAACGATGCAAGTAATTACCTATATATTTGTATCTATTGTATTTATCTCAATGAGGATAATATTAATTTTCCCAAAAATTAAAAACTTCGAACCAGTCTTCCTGACTTCTTTCATAATATTAGTCTCTCAACATTGTCTCCCCTGAGTGATGAAAATTTTTGAGGTGAAACTTTGAGAAGAAAATTCTGAAAAAATAAATCTTGGACAAAATTCTTCCCTGTGATGTATTTGTACTTTAATAATACTTAAATTGCTATTATTGTGAGACACTGTTTAAATACTTTTTGTGTCACCACCGATGAAAGTGTTTAGATGAGATACCTCGTAGACAAGCTCAATATATTTCTGATATCAAATTAAGGAGAGTGAGACTGTGTCGTCAAACTGTGTTTAAAAGGGTGTGGTTTCTACGTTGCAGAAGAAAATTTGGGGATTTTATAGAGAGAGAAGAGAAATAGCGAGAATAAAAGAAAAATTGAAGAAAAATTCGAATACGCACGTACTGTTAATTTTCTTACACACGTGAGTCCTGTGTGTCTGACGTTAAATTCACGGTGGTGAAATTGATTTAGTATCGCGGAAACAAGGACTTTGTGTTGGTTTCCTTAGACCGTATTTAAAACGAAGTCATTTCTGGCTTACACTGGAAAATACAGCGGTGTCAGAGAAGAAAAAGAAGGGTGGTAAACAGGAAAGAAAAATTAACGCAAAATTTTAATATACGCGTGTTTTTAATTTTCTTATGTATACCAGCTGCATTTCTAACGTCAAACTAACACGGAAATTGCTTTAATTTTGAAGGAACGAGACGGTCAGCTCTTTGTCTTGGCTCTCTTAAAGTTCATTTGAAACCCTGTGATACAGAGTGTGTCTGCAGAAAATGGCGTAGGATTTAAAAGGTACCAAAATACCTCAAAATTAAAGAAGAATATCACTTTGCGAATTATTCCAACTACTAAGAAATTCCACCAAAAATCTCCGATGTCTCGTATATTTATACAATCTAAGAACAAAACAGCAGTGAACTCGAAAATAGAGAAATGTAAAATAATTTTGCTACATTTTTTAAAGAAAAATCGACACAAAAACTTCTAAACATCGATAATCCTTGGAAATTCGACTAAAAATATTTGATATCTCCTATCTCTATCATACAAAAAAAAAGAACGAGTAATAAATTCGAAAATAGAAAAATAAAATAATTCCACCATTTTTTCGAAAAAGATAAAGAAGCTTATAAATATCTCTAATTGATAATTCTCGTTTAACTCTTTGCACTCGGCAAAGTTTTCTTTCTTTCACGAAAAACAGTAATTCGAAGACTTCCTGCCATAAAGTCTGGGATATATTTAAAACGGTAAATAAGAAATCGTATACAATATTAAGACGTGGAATTATTTTACCTCGACATCGTTGAGTAATTTTAGATTTGATATATTAATTAACATCGATCTTTAGAATGTGATTAAATGGCGACTGAGAGGCACCTCTCGAGTGTAGAGGGTTAATTTAAAACAAAATACACCAGATCCACGTCACATAAGAAGAGAAAAGCGTTTGAAAATTTGAAAATAGAAGAAACAAATAACGCAGGATCATCACCGATTTAGCATACTAATCGCGACATCTTACAGAAATATATTCAAATAGAACGTATGCATATGGATGTGTGTTTGTGTGTGTTCACGAGTAGAACGAATCACCGATTGTCTAACATGTTCTCAGTCATCGTGTAACAGTCGTTATTATAAAAGCAATTATAAAGCTTACAAGTCTAATAGACAGATTACATTATTTATTCCTGTGATACTTGATTCTCGCCGATACTAAAGATCCAATAAATAAATAATACCTCTTATTTTATAAGAAAGAAAAATCCAGGAACGTGGTTTCTTCTCGGACTGCGAATGGAATCGATTGAATAAATAGATCGAAATGTATAAAAATTCTTCACCTGTCCGTTTAAGTCGCCCGTTTCTCCATTCGGCTCGCTCATTTATTCGATTCTCCGCCGAATGAACGACGTGCAAGCGGAGAAAATTAACTTCCTAAGAAGTTAAACTTGCACAGTCGGAAGTATGATTGCGTTAAAGCCGCCGAAGCAATCCGTGTAAATTGGAAAGAGTCCCGGAGCGTGATTCTTTTCCTGATTTGTGTCCTGCGTTAATTTCCGTGGTCTTGTCAAACGGAATATTTTAATAATTTAATCACCCGTAACGACGTTACCGCGATAACCGATTTCCTCTATAAAACAGGAAATCGAGTTTCCTTAATGCGTCTGATAATTCAATTCCGACGAACATCTATCTATCGAGAAAGAAAAGAGAGAACGAATAATCGAATTACGTTTACGATTAAATTTGAATAAAACGTCGAGAAAAATTGAACGTCACATTTGTCCTTGCGAATCTCGAGAAAAATGCGATATTAGAAATTCGAATAATAAAATATACGTATATTAAGCAGATTTGCATAATAACGATCGAAGACGTCACCCAGTTCTGACAATAACTTCTTTATAAACACAGAAGTTCATTGTTCAATGCAATTGCTCGTGCAATCAATATTCCTCCTTTATTCCCCTCTATAATCGAGGAAAATTGAACAAGTCAGGTTTCAATCTAGTAACGGATAAGCCACGACGTTTAATACGCATTTGGAATACCGAACACCTCGATTATTAACGCTAGGTTTATGGACTAGCTATCTATATACCTATTTCTAAGGACACCTGTCAAATTGACAGGTAAAGGACGTGGTAGTGGTTATCATAGAATGTGTGGTATGAGTGTGAGGAATGTTTGTGTGGAAGAATGTGTGTGTGACGAGTACGACAGAGAGTCGCGAAAAACAATCAGTAGCTGAATGACAGTCATTCCAAATAGATTTTGTGTTTGAGAGAGTCCTCAAGAAATTATATCGCAGTTAGAAGCGAATTTATTTTACGAGTTTTAATTATAATTAATATCGTGCTGTTATAGTGTTCGATAAATATTCTTATCACTTTATTAATTTACTCACAAAGGAAACCACGTGCCTTTTTTCAACGATTAGTTTAATTTAAAAACAATTATATATGATATTAACAGTTTCAATATTATTATATTAACAGTTAACTAAATCTGTTACCATCGTATAATTGGAGCAACCCTTCCGTCAAATTGACGGGTTCTGTAAATCTAGCGTTAAAGATTTACGGATCCAAAAATGGTTAACGATAAGCAAGACGATAAAAGACGAAGAGAAACGAAAAGGATGAAAAAATAATCGAAATAAATAATAAAGAAGAATAACAAAATGGATCACGCTCTATAGCATCTCTCAAACTCAGCTGCTGCACCCTCGAGTCACCCCCTGCTTCGAACCACGCTTCTCGCATCTTCATCCCCAATTTCACTTCCGGTTAAGGTTAAAATTTCCTTTTCGATTTTTCTTTTTTATTCTTCGGAATAAAATTTTCCAACGTAGACGGGGATCTTCGTATCGTGGAAGCCAGAGATTTCTACAACAAATACACTCGGCTACGCGGCGTGGCGTCGAAATTACGATTTCACGTGTGACGTTGAAACTATTTTATTCCTTCGCGAGTAGCCAGTGAATTTGCTGACATTCGACGGTCATAAAGTTTTACAGGGAGCAGTGTAAATGTAGCAGAGAAAAGCGACGTCCTCGAATCCCGATACGTTGCAAAAAAGATTAAATATCGTAACGTATCGCCGATCTCTCACCGACGACAATACGGATATACACAAAAATTCGCTACGAGCCGAGCAAAAACATTTTTCATCCCGAGTATCGTGACATTTTCCTTTTTTTATTGCTCCACAGCCTTCCACTTCCTTCTTATCCTGCCCCCCCTTTTTTCCATTTTTCAACATAGATGGTTTTAATGCCGATAACTCGATTTTTATATTCGCTCGATTTAACTTCTTTGCCGAATTTTCCATCGCATTTTATTTTATCTCCTTGTTGCGAGTGATAATAAATTTCCTGACAATTTATGCATGGGCAATTTATTTCTCGCCGAATTCTTTTTTTCTTGTAAATCTCGAAACGTTGCATTTCCGGAAGCATTAGGTGAAACGAAAAATGTTTTCGTTTGAATCGAAAACAATTTCATTTTATTGAGTAGTATGAAAAATATTAAATCGCAGATTTCCTCTTTTTAACGATATTAATTTTATTCGTTACATTACCATTTTGAAAATGGAGCAGGTTCGGAAGAATGATATTTTTACTTTGCTATGGTGGTAAATTCTAAACTGGAAATGGTAAAAACTGTCACCCCATGCGATTTTAAGTTCATTCATCAATAGGAGTCTTAAATACAAAGATTCTCAATTAACAAAGAACGAAGAATTATGAAAATGGCTGACAATTAATTAAAAACATTTAAGGCCTACCAATTTACAATTTTTATTCCTCAAATTTATTTTCGCATTCGGGACAAACTTGACAGACTCAAAATCTCTGTTTTTCCAATTTTTCCAATTTTCATCCTAATGTATATTCAAAGAAACGAGTATCAATCTCGACTCAATTTATCGTAACATGAAAATGTTCCGACAACGCTCTCTGTTTTTCCAATTTTTCCAATTTTCATCCTAATGTATATTCAAAGAAACGAGTATCAATCTAAGTAACATGAAAATGTTCCGACAACGTGTTTCATTGGATTTCCGAAAATATTCAGTCATCGTGCATCACGTGTCGCACGCTCC